CAATCAAAACCCCAGCAAGTAATTTTGTAGATTTTGATAAAATGATTCTTAATTTTATGTGGTAAGGCAAGAGACAGAATAACCACACTATGTTGAAGGAGAAGAACAAACTTGCAGGACTGATATTACCCAATTTCAAAACTTAAAAGCTACATTAATCAAGGCCATGTAGTATTGGCAAATAGAATAGTCAAATAAATCAATTGAACAGAATATAAAGCCTAGAAGCAGAAACACATAAATATAGTTGACTGATATTGGACAAAGAAGCAAAATCAATATGATGGATAAAATAACAAGTAGTCTTCAATTAATGGTGCTGGAATAACTGGATATACACGTGCACACAAATAAATCTATATACAGACCTTATAGCCATCATGAAAATTAACTCAAAGTGAATCACAGACCTAAATGCAAAATAATAAAATACAAAGAAGTTAACATAGGAGAAAATCTAGATGACTTTAGATTTGGCACAACCCATGAATGAAAGAATCATTAGCAGGTCTTTCTCCCTGCTAATGTATCTGGGGAAACAAGTGCTTGGGCCCCTGCACCCACGTGAGAGGCCCAAAAGAAGCTCTTGGTTCCTGGCTTTCCCCTGACCCAGCCTTGGCAGTTGGGGCCATTTAGGGAGTGAACCAGCAGATAGAAGGTGTGTTACTCTCACGTCTCTCCCTCTTTCTCTCTGTAACTCTGCCTTTCAAGTAAATAAATGAATATTTTTTTAAAAAATTAAATTAAAGCAACAATGAGATACAACTATACACAGTTTAGAAAGGCCAAAAGGCAGAATACTGGCAATACCAAATGTTGCTGAGACCATGGAGAAACTGAAACTCATTTGTTAATGGTCAGGATGCAAAATGGTATAGTTTCTTTGGAAAACAGGGTGTTGTTTCTTACAAAACTAAACATACTCTTGCCATATCATCCAGCGTTCATGTTTTTTGATATTTATTCAGAAGCATTGAAAACTTATGTGTACACAAACACATGAACATGAATGTTTATGGCAGCTTTATCAGAATTGCTAAAACTAGGAAGCAACAAAGATGCCCTTCAATAGGTGAGTAGGTAAATAAACTTTTGTACTTTTAGAAAGTGGAATATCATATAGGACTAAAAATATGAGCAATAAATCCCTGTAAATGCGGGAGCTAAAAATTTTTAAAAATCAAAGAAAAAAAAAACGAAATGCCTGCGTGTATCAGTATTGCTGCAAATATAGTTTTGTCAAATTTTGTTATATATCTTTGTCAAACCAATGGTTGCTACTATAGTTTTAATGATCAGTGACTATTTTAAAATTTACTGTATATGAATGAAGTTAGCATCTTTTCATTTGATTATTGTTTACAGCCCTTACCTACATTCCCATCTCCCAGGACACTTCCTAGTCTGTGCCTGAGCCAGGGCTGGGACCAGAGCCAGAGGGAAAAGCCCTGTTGAGATTGCAGGCAGTGGAGGAACCCCATAGGTACAATACAGCCTTCTGTCTGAGGGTGGAAATTCCTGAGCAAACCTCCCCCGACCCAACCCCACCTGTTGGCCCCTCCACAGCACCTGCTGTCTCAGACCAACGTTCTGGGAACACAGTAGGGGGAGGGAAGGCTGCACAAATGCTGTCAGCATATTCTTTCCCAACCAATACTGGGGAAAGCCTGGACTCTGCCCCACCTCCAAGGGGCCCTCTCCAAGAAAGGCAAGGCACTTCCCAGGGCGCACACTCACTCCTGGGTGCTCCTGGGTCCCCAGCTTTGAGTGTGGGCAGTGTGGTCACAGACTGCTCAAAGAGCTCTGCAGATCTCTCCCAGGTTGGCAGGAAGAGGGAATTGGGCTGTGTCAGCCCTGAGACATGAAAAGACAAATAAAAATTAAAAGCAGGAAAAAATAGAGGATAATGAAATAGAAATCCATAGATGAGGAGGCAATATTTTCAAATTCTATCTCTGTTAAGGAATTTATATCCAAAATCTAACAATGACTCCAATAATTCAACAACAAAAACAAATAACCTAATTTTAATAAATGGGCAAAAAACTTGAACAAATATTTCTCCAAAACAGATATACCAATGACCCAATAAGCACATAATAAGATATTCAGCATCATTAATCATATGGTAATGAGAAGAAAAGCAACAGTGAAATAACCCTTATGACCATAAGGATGGCTATTACAAAAACAGAAACAGAATCAAAGAAAATATAAAATAATAAGTGTTAAATAAGATGTGGAACAGTTGAAACACTTGCTCACTGTTTGTAGAAATAATTTTCTAAAAAAAAGATGGTGCAGCCTCTGTGGAAAACTGCATAGAGGTTCTTCAAAAAATTTAAAATATGAGAGGAGGGCCTAGTATTGTGGCATTGCCGTTTAAGCTGCTGCCTGCAGTGCCAGCATCCCACATGGGCACCGATTCTTATCCCGTTGCTCCACTTCTGATCCAACTCCCTGCTAATGTTCATGGAAAAGCAGCGGAATATGGCCCAAGTGCTTGGACCCCTATACCCATGTGGGAGACCCAGAAGAAGCTCCTGGCTCCTGGCTCCTGGCTCCTGGCTTCAGCCTGGCCTAGCCCTGGCCATTCAGGAAGTGAACCAGCAGATAGATGATAAATTCTGTGTGTGTGTGTGTGTGTGGGTGGGTGGGTGTGTAACCGTGCCTTTCAATTAAACATCTTTAAATATATATGTTTATATATATATATATGTTTTATATATATATATATGGCTTATATATATACATATATGAAGGAAAACCATTTGACACAACAATTCTATTTCTTTTTATACACCCAAAAAATTGCAAAGAGATTTTCAGAGATATTTTTGAACATCTACATTATAGTACATTTCTAATAGCAAAAATATGGAAGCAGCCATATTCAACTGTGGATGAATGGATAGGCAAAACATGGTATATAACTACAATGGAATATTATTCAGCCTTATAATGAAAGGAAATTCTGACACATATAACAACATGGATGGACTTTTCATATATTATGCTAAGTATAGTACATCATCCAGACCAGGGCAAATATGTGTAGTTCAATTCATGTAGTCAAATTAATAGAGACAGAATATACAATAGCTGTTGCTGGGGATGGGGGAGGAAAGCAGGTAAAGTTAGTATGTAGGCACTATAGAGCTTCAGATGCAGAAGATGAAAAAGTTTTAGAGCTGGATATTGGTGATGGCTGTAGCACCATGTTAATGCTCCTATTGCAATAGAATGGTACATTTAAAATGGCTAAATTGTTCAATTCAATGCTATGTATATTTTACCACAATAAAAAGATACAATGAAAAATAGTAATGCTTAGCAATCATACTCTAATATGCTTGATGAGAATATTTTCCAACATCTCTGAGTTTTCCCTTAGATAACAGTAGAGCCCAAATTCAAAATTTCTTGTTAAAGTCAAGGTTACTGGGCTTCTCTCAATTTCATTCAATAAAATGAGAAATTTAGATGTCACGATAATCATAGTAACACACCAATATAAGTATTATTACCCACCTGTTAAATCTTGAATCCATCAAGACTTTATTGTAACTTCGCTTCTGTTATATTCCCCACACTGACATGAGGGAATTTCTTCTATCTAGAGTTTCAATTATCATTTATATGAAGATGACACACAATATTATGTTTTCAATTATTTCCCTGAGATATATGATTTCATGTCGCATAGTCACCTCAAATTCAACATATCTAAGACCAAATTCATGAACAGGAACACCACAGTTGGCTATTTCTCATCCATACTGCTAAGCCATAAAGCCAGGAGCTTCATTTTCCTTTATATCACACATCTTATCATGAGCTCCCATGCCATACTGTACTTACTGCTATCATTTACCTTTGCACTTTTCTATTCATTCCTGTATATTTGATTAATATTTTTCTTCCACAATAAAATGCACATTCTAGGTGGACAGAATCTTTATCTTTGCTCATAATCATGTTCCCAAAATACACATAATGACCAGTACATATTTAATAAAATCTTGTTGAATGAATAAAACTTTAAGCTTTGAAATAGCAAATTTGAAGCAATATGACATGAAAATCTTAGAAATATAATTCCTCTTCTTCCTATCTACATGAAGATGAGAATTGTTCCCAAACAAAATGGGCTACAGTTTGACTCTCACCTTGAGATTACCCTGGCTATTGTTAGTTCTGGTCTTTTAGTTCAAAATAATCTTCTACTTGTAACTGAATTTTCTGAGCACTTTCAACTTATGCAGTGCAATAATTCCTGTATCCATTACCTCTCAATACTAAACCAGTTATGAGCACCTTGTTCCATTTTTTGGATGGAAAATACTAAATACTCTATGTTTACAAGTCAGGTCAGATCATGAGGATGGGAGTGCCGGTGAAGGGAGAGTTCATCTCAATCAATGGTCAAGTTCCGAACATTCAAGCCCTACCCTTGCTACCAGTTTCAAATGAGTTTAACACTAAAATCTCTATATTTGGAAAAATAGACCCAGTGTTTAAAATACTTCTAACAGATTTTCTGTTAGGATTATATGGGAAAATGCCCTGGAAATTACTTCTTTAAATCGTAAAAAGATACAAATATATATACCTATTCAAACTCGACTGGGGTTGCAGTAAATACTAAAATAGCAATGGGAGTGTGCAGGAAGCACAGTTTCTGGCAAAACCTTAACAATTCGTGGGGAACTACTTTTTACAGTGCAGTTCTATATTGTTTTTGAATTGAATTATGAAGTGATTGCAGCAAAGACATCGTTTTTTTTTTTTTTAAAGGAGGGGGGGCAAATTTTAAATCTGACATTTAACCATTCCATTGTGGGGTCTTTCTACCATATTTCAGCTTCCTGGAAATCCCAACCCCCTCTTTGTCTCTTAGTCTCCTCTCTGATGATCTGATTCAGTAACCAGGTGAGCGGTTACTAAGTGCTGGCCTGCTTCTACGTCATCCAATTGTGCCGTAGCGATGCTACGTGCGTGATCACTTGTGAGGGCGCATGTCCTTTCTGGCGTATAAAGCTTGATCACCGCAGAGGGTCCCAGTTGCACCAGTGAGGAAAGCCTAACACCCTGGCTGGCGGCTTCCCACGTCCGGGCGGCTAGCAGCCCCCTGCTTCCCTACTACCAGCTGGGTACTTCTGTCCCCTGAGGAAGACTTACGAGCATGATTTTTCTCATACTGGCCTTCGCTATATTCGTTTTTCTGTTTCTCGTCTGGAAGAAACGGTTTAAAGGAAAGGTATGTCTAAGAGATTGGAAATAGATGAAGCTAGATGCGTACTTGGATTGGGTTTGCAGGATGGTAGAAGGGTAGTAAAATAAGAGGTAAGAGGAGATGACTTCTTTTTCTCTCAAAAGATCCCCAGACTTCTATAACTTACCCCCTCAATTTCCGCATTTTGAGCTGTGGTCTGTTGTAAAAAGTCCCAAGTCACTAAGCGCTGCAGTCCACTTCTCAGGCACCTGCAGACAAAAGTACAGCTGAAAGCGCCCATTCACTACTTCTCTTTCCCAGTACCTTCTCTCTCTTCCTTGGCCTTCTGCTTTTTCCCCCTCGACCCCTTGTTTCCGTTTGCTTCTCCTGCCATCCTTATGGGAATCTTCTGGGCATTTACAAATAATTAAGGTCTAAATAGTGATGAAAGTTGGAAACGAAGTGTTTTTTAGTTAAGAGTCCAAAGTAAGATCCATATGTAGGCTTCTTAGAGTGCCCAAGACAGGTAAGCAAAGAATATGGCACTTTGAGAATACAAATCTACATTCTTGTATATTTTTTCTCAGTCCAGCTCTGGAAAAAATATGTTTCCAAATCAGTGACATCATGTAAAACATTTTGTATCTCTAGCTTGTAGGGGAAATCAATTCATTCTGGTAACTGGGCTTAACCAAGTCGTTATTTGATAGGTTTTGGAAATTGCTAAACTCAATAAACTACATATGTACAATTTCTTTCCTTTACAGAAAAACACTGGTAAAAGGTCAAAAAAGTCAGCTTCTCTTGCACTAATAAGAACTGCTACTGGGTCAACTAAACACAATATCAATAAGCATCTTTCCGTCAACAAGCTCTCTCAGGAAATCTTAAACAACTTCCCTCACTCGATAGCCATGCAGAAGCAAATCCTGGTAAACCTCAGGATTGTGGAATACAAGCTGGCTGAATTGGAACATTTCCTACATACTAGGGGTATTAACGGTGCTTTAGCTAACCAAAAATCCCCTAAAAAGCTTACCAGATGGAGTGACAGTGGAGGCAGTCAATAAAGACACTTTGAGTGACTTCACTTGATTGTGTGTTAATACTGAATTATTGTTTAAAAGGGAGCAAGCACACGAAGTCATACACAAAACCCAGATATTTATTGATCTGCTTACATTTTATTTATTTAAATAATTGATTACATGTTGCTAACATACATTTTGCTAGGAAAGGAAGGGAAATACAATAAAGAAGAAAAACAGTTCAAATATTTGACTTTTAAAAAACTATAATTGAGATACAGTGATCTTAATTTCATTCAAGTGTGAAATGTTCTCTAATGGTCTACAATATAATACTGCAAGTGTCTCCAAGTTTGTATTATATGGGATTTGATGTAACTCTGCAAGGGGCATAATTTTGTTTTTTTTCCACTGTTGAATCTATGTAATGATGTCTATCATTGAGCACCCTACAATTCACTGAGCACTCTGATAAGATCTGTGTCTTACATACTTGTAAAGACAAGCTCTTAACTACTCTTTGTGGTCAGCTTTGAAAAGGATTTCTTCCTCTTTACACCTCCCCTACCCCAATTAGATATTCTTTCATTTAAAATGCTTAATTCTTCCCTGAATTGCAAGAATCACCCATAGAAAATTGCATGCATTTTTCTACTTGATGAAAAATCAATACCTCAAATAGCACCAAAATACAATGGTTGAATGCATGTAATATAATTTGGATTAAAATTAAGAAAAAGTCTTATTAAGTTCTAAAGAGCATCCACTTCCAATTATATTTTATAAACTTGAGTGTAACGAAGGAATTACATATATACTTACAGTTCACTAACAATATTTGACCTACCCTCATGACCTCACTACCATTACTGAGATGGTTCAATTATAGGCCTGTTTATCTACCTAGCCCCCTACTCTCAAAATAAATTAATAGTATAAATCAAAGATGTGTCGTAATGCTTTACTCCTTTAATCTCTAATCAAAAGGAAGAGGAAAGGGAACATATAATAAAATTCCTTCCATTTTTCACTCACTTGCAAAACACAAGTAACCAGTAGTATATGTTTCTTAACTTTTGGGTGATAAGTCTCTTTGATATTTTGATGAAAACTATGGACTCTCTTCCCTAGAAAAAAATGCATGTACACATACATACAAAAAATTATATATATATATAATTTTAGTTTCACATAATCTCTGAAGCCTAGGTTAAAAAGCTTAAGAATTGCTGAAAAGTTCCTTATACATTAATTCAGTATTTATCATCCTAGGCTGGGATGTTGAAACCAACTGTCAGTGATATGTAATCAATACAAAGCAATTCAGTGATGTATTTCATGGACTTTTGTAAGGAAACTGGAACACAGGACTTTCTAATTTGGCCTCCTTTATGCTTGACAAGTTTAACTAATAAACTATGTAAAAAAAATCACCTGTCAGTAGTAACTTTTTCACATTAGACAAAATCACTCTACTTGATCTATTAGCCATATATAAAAACCAGGAAATGCTAGATTTTATTAAAATCATTTTCTCATTAATATTTTTGACCATATTCTATTTAAAGTAGCCTAGATTTCAGAGAGTGTAGTGAACTATTCTTAATTTTGTGAAACAAGAGAAATTAGATCATAGTTTTCTTAAATCTATAATCTAAGTAAGGAATATAGTATAGAACATCAAGACTTGATCTTTTGGATTCCATTTTTTAGATTTGTCACTTACTGGATACCAGATCTTTATTTTTCTGTCTCATTTCACTCTTTGTAAATAAACAATGTAAACACTAAGTTCACATCTGCCATAACAAGTACATGAAGATTTTAGAAATATTTGGATAAAAAATATTAAACTGCAGACCTTATATAACAGAAATGGCCCATTTTTTTCAGTATATGAATTGCATTTTTAATTAAGTCATACCTTTAGTTTGCAATGCTTTCTTTAAAATGTACTGATTTTTCTCTTGTTTTGTAAAAAATATTTCATATTGAGAAAATAGGATCAAATACTCTTTAAAACTTTACAGAAAATATAATTATTCCCTAAACAATAAGCTCCAAATAAGCCTTCAATTTATTAAAATAACATTATGCTATATTTACAAAAATGTCATTGTGAAATAGAGGTTGTGATGTGTCTGTGTGTTCATACAAACAGCTAATCTAAAAAGAAATATAAGCACAGTGCTAAACAATAGATTCACATTTTTCTATGACATTCCTGTTTAAAAGGGAAAAAATTATCACACTGTTATGAACAAAGTATATACAAATTTCTACTCAATTAACATACAAATAAATAAGATTTTCTCCTAGTCTAAAAAGATCACATTTTGCAATCATATGTGTTTTTTAAGAGTGAGATCTCATTCTGGTCTGCTACTGCCACTAACAGTAGGGATTTCCTGGTCAGACTCTTTTTTGGGATCTACCATGCCCTTGTATCTCTCCCCACGATGTCTTTCCAGGTATGGGCCCCAGTTAGGTGCTGGTTTGCAGCAGCTTACAATGCGCTGAAAAGAAAAAGCAAAAAAAAAAAAATTGCCTTAGAATTTAAGTACTACAATCTTTAAACAAGCAAATATTAAATCAACAATGTGATTTAAGGTTTCAAGTTTCTTTTTTAACAAAATTCAAATTAGAACCATGGAACAGTAAAAGGTGATGTTCTCAATTCTTATGCACACTCTGCCAAGAAAAAAATATAATCACATATAACTGTTAATAGAATTGTATCAACTACTAAACCAAAATAAACAAGCATATAAATAATTTCAAAATAAAGTGTGAGTTCTTTAGAGCAGCACTCATCACTACAGATACTTTACTGAGTTTTCAGGTGTTTCCATCCTGACTTTAGAATGAGGATGAGAATCTGACCTAGCGTGTATTGGGAAAAGTCTGAAAAACCAAAGAAAGGGAGTTCCAGGATCAAACTATTCATTTAGATCAATTGTTGAATGGACTTTGGAATTTATTTAAACCTAAGACTCCTGAACCTATCTTGTCATTGTTCTAGTTAGAAGTCATAATCAATTCCACGCCCTCAGGCCTCCTTTAAGAGAGATAAGTCAGTACCCAGATTGCATTCAAGACAATTTATCAGGAGTCGGTGTTGTGGTATCCAGGGTTAAGACACTACCTGTAATTCCAGCATCCCATATGGGTGCTGGTTCTAGTCCCAGCTGCCCCATTTGCAATCTAGCTCCCTACTAATGTGCATGGAAAAGCAGCAAAACATGTCTCAAGTACTTGGGTCCCTGCCACCCATGTGGGAGACCCAGATGAAGCTCTTGACTTTGGCCTGGCCCAGCCCTAGCATTGCAGCCATCCTGGAAGTGAACCAGAATGGGACATGAACCAGAAGATGGAAGATATCTCTCCCCCTCTCTCTCCCTCTCTCTCCCTCACTCTCCCTCTCTCTCCCT